CTAAGACATTATATGAATACTTTGAAATACTTAATTTTTGCAAGTAAAAAAATATGAAGATTGAAATAACATATTGAATCAATTTGTTGAGAGGATTAAAAACAAAATCTGTATAGATAGATAGATAGATAGATAGATAGATAGATAGATAGATAGACTTGCTAAAAAGGTCATTGTATCGACCATAATATTTGCAAAATGTTGACTTTTAACGAGACTGTTTATTTTCTTATATCATCAACTTATTTTCAATAGTTTGCCTCGACATAGAAATTGTTCGTACGTAGAGCATGCTCTTGCGTATCGATATGCAGGTGATAATGGTATATTGCAACATAAATAAGGGAAGTTGACGATAGAAAAGTTGATGAGATCACATTTATAATAAAGTTTTGTTGTTAGTTTGCCATTTATGTCTTTTTCTCGTAAAATATCTAAATGTGAGATAGATGTGTCATACTCTGTGGTGTCTTTTATTTCGAGTTATGTGGGATACTAGTACATGTAAATCGAATCAACGTCGGAACGAAAATGAATATTGTTAATTGATAAAACGTCATCGATATATCTTAATGTCGAATTGAAGGCCACAGCAAGAGAATTTTGCAAATTTTGTTGTATTTAAGGATATGTTTTTAAGTATCGCTGTAAGATATGTGTTAAAACCATGCATGATTCAGCAGAAACTCAGCAGAGGGTCTTTCTTCTGGATCTTTTTGAAAACACTGATCTAAAAATGTTCTGCAGGTCTCTGAAACTTTTTCAGGAAGTCCGTAATCGAACACTGCACCCATGCCTATCTTAAACATGGCAGCTTGACTCTCTAATTCAGACCAAGGTGCTCTGGAGGTAAGCATTTCTAAAATTACACATGCCAAACTCCTACAAAAAAATAATATCATATAAAATAACTAAAACCCCGAAATCTATGAAAATTAACTTTTTTTTTTATTAATAAAGATTCCCCTTTCGCCTTGAAGTAAAATGAGCTTATACAAGAAGAAGTGATCAAAAAGTTTGTGGACTGGCGCGTTAAAATCGATGTTATGTGAGGTAGAAATTTTAAATTTTGTACATTTTATAATAAGGCAATTTAACATATAATTTTTAATCATTTACTCCGTTTGAAAATTAAAAGTAAAAAAATACTAACTATTAAAAACCCGTGTTTTGCACACTCAGCAGAACCCCAAATTAAGTTAAGTAACTTGATAAAAATATCATTTTCGATTAAATTTTCAAGAAAAATATAAATAACTGGACAGAAGGTTTGTATAATGTTTAAAAAATTGGCAGTATTTTAAGTGTTTATAATTTTTACAATAATTTCTTCTGTAATGTTTGAAATTTGTGGGTGAAAAAAAATGACGCCGCACAGCAAACGTTAAAAGTGCGAAATGAAGCAGAGAACGAAAGGATATGTATATAGAGAAAATTTTCTTGCACCAGTTTTTATCACCCTCGTACTCACCAGATGTCGGTTTTTGTCCCATATCCATCCTTTTTAATCATTTCAGGTGACATCCAGTAAATTGTGCCAGTGAGAGTTTTCACTTTGCCACTTGAAAATGTGTTCATAAACCTCGAAACACCAAAATCAGCCAGTTATATGCTCTTCTTGTCAATGTCAAGTAAAATGTTTGCAGCTTTAAAAAATGCATGAAAAGAAATTTAAATTCAAATTTCAAATTCAAAATTTAAATTTAAAACAATCATGATTTAGCAGAGAGAGAGAGAGAGAGAGAGAGAGAGAGAGAGAGAGAGAGAGAGAGAAGGAAAATGAATAGTAGTGTATTTGGATGTCTTCGTTCATTTGAAGTGTTTTTTATTTAACCTTTTTTTAATGATTCACTGAATGACAAATACGTTAGTGCGATATTTGAATAAAGATAAAGAGTGATCATGAAAATAATGATTGTATTTCATCATCTAAGGTATTGTTTACTACTTGGTACTATGTGCAATTCTACGCTCAATCATTTATTCACTCATTCCTGGTTTGTAAGTTCATGACCTATGATGTTAAGCGGTGTATATGGGTGTCTTTGACTAGGTTTTCTAGTCTTCGCACCTGGCTGACGCAATGTTATAAACATGCCATAATTTTGTTCGAATCGCTTGATGAGAACATCCTGAATAAGACAAACATTAATCAGATAAATATATATTCTAATTACTATGGAGGGTAATCGTGTTCAAAAATGCAGACTTGTAAGTTTGTAAATCCAAACTTGTAAGTTTGTAAATCCAAACTTGTATCAGTTTCATAGTCTACATATGTAGGTAGGTAATTCCGACATCCTAGCATGTAGTTCCGAACATACAACTGTGTTGACTTTGAGTTTATACTATGAATGTGTGTATTTTTGATGTTGTAAACTTTGTTTTCCGGAATTTATATTTCCGCGCTCTGAATAAAACACAAAGACAATTGACAAGTCTACAAATGTACAGTTTACATGATTGTCGAATTTTGAATATGAGAAATTATGGAGGGGCATCAGTGCCACATTTTCCCCCCCTTTTTTTTTTATTCTAACTTCTTCTTTTTCCAACTGAAATAAATGATTTAGATTTTATTTCTTTTTTTTATTCTAACTTCCAATCTTATATTAATATTTTAATTTGAATTTGTTATTTAATGTTAATTCTAACTTTCTGTTTATATGTTCCAATTTTTTTTATCCTCTTAATTTTATTTTATTTGACGATGTGACACGAATCATTAGCCGCTTATTCACGGCTTGCGCGGATCTAGAGGGGCTTCGGTTTTTAAGGTCTCAACCGAAAAATTATTCAATTTGACTTTCAATGCCGAAGGAATAGTCATTACCAACACTTATGTTAAACGTCTCACATTTTGCCGGCCGGTACTAGGAACTTAGGACAAGCGAACTCTTACCCTCCAATGGCCTACAAAGCTAGCGCCCAACCACTAGGCTATTGTGATCAGTGCCCCAGTTTATTAAGAACCAATGTAACTGCAATGATATCATATTTAAAAAAAACAACAACCACTCAGTAGATGAAAATCCGTATCAATGTTTATCGGGGGGGGGGGGGGGGGAGGGGCTCCAAACAAAAACAATGACGATAAAGAAAATAAATAAATTGCCCAAACTCCTCCTTCGTGGGAAGCAATGTTAAGGATATCTTAAACTTTTCAGTAACTTTTTTTTTCAACGCAAGAATTTTCCAGAGTTTAATGATACCGCAAAATAAGGAGGATGGCGGTGGGGGTGGTTGGGCATACAGCCTATAAATGAATTTTCATATTAAATCAGCTGCAAAGGATTATTCTCTACACAAAAAAGTTGGGAGCCCAACCTTTCGATCCCTCCTACTTCGGACCTGAGATTTGTTAGTGAAAAAAATTCTCTGTCCTACTTTAAAAAAAAAATGTGATGACAATATCAATTTAAAGATACCTGATATTTGTGTACCGTAAGAGGACAATCAAAAATGGCGGTCATATTTATCATATTTGAAACATCTTGCACCAAGGCCATAAAACTTAGACGGGCTCATTTTTTATCACAGTCTCACATTCACCAAAGGAGTTAATAATATGTAGAAAAGAGAGACAGGGGTCAAAAGTGAGCTCATCTAAGTTTTATGGCCCCGACCTAGGTCCGTATGTAGCAAGTGGGGTGAGGATGCCAGTATATACTATATGTATACCAATAAAAAAAGCAATTTCTGATTGTGTCCCCTCAATAATTTTGTCGGTAAATACCTAAGAAAAGAAATGAGGCTAATTCATCGTTGTGCCCCATCAACAGGAATGTTTCATTTTTTTTTGGGGGGGGGGTCTTATCAAGAAATTTTTGTTTTGTGCCCACTGCTCCACCCCCACCCCCTCCCCCCACCCAATGAAATTGCTTCCTACGGGCCTGAAAACGAGAGAAAATACGCAAGAATGATATCATATGGTTTTTAAAATGAAAAAAAAAATATGTTCCATGGAAATGTTTCAACTTTTTCGTAGCTAGACTGTTCGCCAAGATCTCTGTGTACCTGTACATAAAAGGCCGTAGCGCCCCTTTTCGTTTAAATTTTATTCGGATTTCTTAGTTTAACTCTGTACGTTCTACTTTCTTAAACAAACTTTCGATTTTGCTTATGGTTATTACCCCAAAAAATTAAGTATTAAGTTGGATGTTAAACATAATTGAAATTTTAAGATAGAATCAAAATACGAAAGGAATCAAAATTGCCAAAATAAAATAAATAAAATAAAATAAAACAGGAAAATATAAACAAGAACAGGCACGTATCCTAGGGGGGGGGGGGGTCCATCCCAGTCCAAAAAAAACCCAACCCAGAAATTTCTTGACAAGCAAAAAAAAGTAAACTCCTTTCCCAAGCATGAAAAACCTATTTCGCGCGCGTGTGTTTGTTGGGGGGTGGGGGTAGTCGTCAACTTAACACAGATCAGTGTTTTCGAGGGGGGTCCAAGGTAACTTTAAGTTCGTTTAGTGTAAACATTTTAATAAGTCTGTAAATTTCAGGTGGAGGGGTGGGGTGGGGTGGGGGTCCGGATCCCATTCTAGATCCACGCCTTCAAGAAGTAAGAATTAAAATAAAAAATAAAAAATGAAGAATTTAATTTGGAAAACAAAAAGTTAGAATAAAAAAGAAAATAAGACCATTAAAAATAATTGTGGCACTGATGCCCCTTTATAGGTTCTCATTATCATAATTCGACAAACGTGTTGACTTTACATTTGTAGACTTGTCAATTGTCTTTGTGTTTTATTCAGAGCGCGGAAATATAAATTCCGGAAAACAAAGTTTACAACATCAAAAATACACACATTCATAGTATAAACTCAAAGTCAACACAGTTGTATGTTCGGAACTACATGCTAGGATGTCGGAATTACCTACTTACATATGTATACTATGAAACTGATACGATTACAAGGTTGGATTTACAAACTTGCAACTTTGGATTTACAAGTCTGGATTTTTGAACACGTATACCCTCCATAAATAACCTGTAATAATTCAATTTGAATTTTAGTTCCGTCTCTACATGGTATAGCTGCAGATCAGTAGCTTGCTGGTCTGAAAAAAAATTAGGATGGAAGACTAAGGAGCTACAATAACCACCAATGGGGAAAAAAGATATTTATTGCGCACAAAAAGTTGTGCTCGGTACTGATTTCATTTCTCTAATCATCCGAATTATCTTGATACCCAAAAACCGCAAAATGGCACTATAAGTACGTTCCCAAAGAGGGCAAAAGACAATGGTTATGGGGACTGCAGTGGTGTTGAAATAGTAGATTATATGTATGTTGTTTAACGTCCCATTGGAGAGGTTTTCACTCATATAGAGACGTTCCCGTATGCTGATGAAAGGCTTCAAATTTAGACCTAAACTCGATGTAAACCGGGCCATTGAGCAGTGAGGGTTCTTTATCCTGGCAACGCCTACCATGACACGGGACCTCGATTTTTAAGGTCTCCTCCGAAAGACCTGTGATTTTTACTTCTAGTGCCAGGCGCTTGGCAAAGGAACAGTCAATACCTATGTAGTAAAGTTCTGGGTGCTCAGTGAAAGTATGTTGGGAATGAGACGTGCCCTTAAAAGAGCAATTCGTAATGAGAGATCGCCAAGTCAAAGTTAGAAAAATAGTTGTATATTGGAACAATGAATAAATTCTTAATCCCCTAAAATATCAGTTACTTAAGACTGTCGACAGATCACATATGATACAGAAAAAATTGCCCATAAATGATCCACATTGGATACACGACTTATGTAAAACAAAGGAGTTGGTTTGTTATTATCGCCATGTTCATACTGGGAAAAAATATCCTAATCCATCTATCCCAATGTCGAGATTTGGCAATTTGTGACAAATGGACTATTCTTGTTAAAACAATAGCGTACAAAGAAAGATATATAAACCCGGGAAAATATTTTGGCTGCCGTGAACAGTATGCTACGGCGCATGTCACGTGACCGCCTATACCACATATTTCGTGCATTAGCAGGAGGCTGGCATATGTGTATTAAAACCAGAGAGAGCTACTTAAAACATAAACACTGACACTCATTTCGATTTCTTTTACGGACGAAATACAATTAGTTCGCGAACTTTTTTATCACCCCTCGAAATATTATAAGTATTAAGATTTTTTCCCATCGAGGTTTGATATGTAGTATATCAAATTTGGTTTTTCTGACGTAAGTTATTAAGCTAACGAAACAACCATAAAAAATTATCAGTCAACATTTTTTTCAAGAAATTTATGAAAGTCATAAAACACACGTCTAACTCTTTTTCTCTTAACTACATGTATGAAAAATTAGAGAGGACTTCTGATAGTCTAGAGGAAACATTTATGAACTGAATAACAACAGAAAAGGAAATAAAGTCCAATTTATTGATGCAGGAAAATGATGTCCAAAATCCTTGGTATCAAAGTTTCCCTTGTAGAATTATTTTTCCTGTTCCTAGGACTCAAAAACACAGGTAAGACACCACATACGTCATTATACTCAAGTTAATCATTAATGGCTAATGAGCTTGACAGATATCAATGAGCAAAACCAAAAATGCACACTATTTATCATTATTTATAAACACACAATGAGATTTGTACAGTGTATTATTAAAGCGCATAATCAGCCTGCAGAAATAATTACTTTCCTAAAAGATCTCGTAAAAGATTTTATTGACAATATCGCAATGATTGGATAAATTTGCGTAAATGGACGATAAACGAAACCGTTTTCTCATAAAAAATGTCTGGTGTTTACGAAATACATATATATATATATATATATATATATATATATATATATATATATATATATATATATATATATATATATATATATATATATATATATATATATATATATATATATCATATCCTGATTTCCCCCCTAAAATGGCTAAGATCGTTTGCTGTTCATCAATATTTTATGTACATCCAAAACACAATTTTATAATGACAGTCCAGTTAACTGAATATTAAAAAAAATAGTTTCTTTTGTAATACAAAAAGAGAGATAATGTGTGGCAGGATCGGGAGTCGAACATGGGACCCCTGTTTTACTAGTCAGGCGCCCTAACCCCTGATATACCCAGGCAGATATCCACGACCCATACACTTATATTTCTCCTTCCTTAAATAATTTCGAACTCGAAGACACAACCAATTTTTTCCTGGAAGACTTTTTCAACTGCAATTCCAGGGATGGTTAACGACACAAAATTATATAATAGGAAATTGTATGGCTGGACTCGGAATCCCATTGAAGTTTCTAAATGTAGTCGCAGAACTTCTCCATTTCTTTTTCAATTTACTACGGAAGGGGCTAATTCCGAAAAAAAACAAAAAAAAAACATAAAGTACAAATTCCTTCTATTGGGAATTTAGAATGCACGTTTTTCTTCATCACACATGGATTTTAATTACAATGAAGTATATTAAGGATTTACATTAAATAAATGTGAGCCTATATAGGGATTTTTTTGTAAAAATTAAAAAAAGAAAAGTTATTCCAAATTTCAAAGAAAAAAAAATTAGTAACCATATCCATCCATGAACGTTCACCTTCCTATGCCCAGTCGACAAACCATGCGAGAACAATGTATGTCCTCACTCGATTTAATAAAGAAGAAGATTTATATTGTGATATGAAATCAAATTTTATTTGTATTTATTCATTTTGTTTTCTTTTTTTTCTTTCGTTCAGTTTAAAACATGAACGAAATCAAAACGTTTACTGTAAGTAAATTATTTCAATTATTTCCATATCTTTAATATCATTTCTCTATTTTTGTTTTATTATATATTTTTTATGGTAGGTCAATGCCTTCTTTCTTTCAATAATAAATGAATTTGAAAGCACAATTAATCTGCCTTTCTAATTAGTTACATTATGAAACTTTTTTTGTACGTGCAAGTGAACAAACTCTTGTATCACAATTTGGCTTATATTGAAATTTCCAAATTTTTGAGTTATTCAATCTTATTTTTAAAAATTGACGTGAAAGCAAGTATAAATTATTAATGTCTTACCTTTAAGGTCTCTATGAATATATCCTCTCTTATGAAGGAAATGTAGACCATCTAGTATTTGTTTAGTAAAGTTCTGCGTTCGAGATTCCAGTAAGCCCCTTGATTCATCAATCAACGTCTTTAATGACCCCTATGTTTAAAAATGTTTGAAGTAATTAGTATAGATGTTGTATAGCACATTAATGACAAAAACAGGACATTTCACAGTTAAACATAACAGCAACCTTTTTTAAAATTTAAAAAAGCAACTTTCAAATTTTAAATTTTATATTAAGATTTTAAAAAAAAAGTTGTACTACAGCACATTCAGTTTTGAACCGGAAGAAGATAAAAGATTCTATATTATCACTTCGAGTCTTGAGAAACCAACCGATGGTAACAGCAATTACTTTGTAAAGCTTGATTAAGGTCATAATTATACAATCGAGAACCTTGACTATTACAGGATCGGGATTAACCTATCCTGTAAAATAGGTACATGTTATTCCTTCGAAATGCAAATGTCGGGAATACTCACACCATACATATACTCCATGAATATACGTATTTCATCCTGGTGTTTTTGGAAACCAAAATATCTAACAATTCTAATGTGATCTAGGCTTTTCAGCGCATTGATTTCCTTTTCTGCGCTTTTAGCATTCTGAAAAATTATGTATAAAGCAAAATATACTTTTTGTTTAGAATAAACTAACCATTCTTTAAAACCCATTGAGAAGAGAAGATTTGTGCTAATTGAACTTCATACTTTAATTTGATTCACAGTACAGAATACTATTCTTTTTAATTGTTTTCAAAATAAAGAATTATTTTTCGGGAAAATTATTTTCAATGAGCATACAAACTTTGATCAATTTTGTCTCATTTCTCGTACGCCTAAGGGTCATATTTGAAAAAAAATGAAGAAAATTTTAAATATAGTAAAAAGTATAAGGAAGTCCTTCATACATTGAATGATTTAAGTCATTTATCGACCCCCACATTTACCGAACTTATTACAAACTGGGTAAGTAAAGCAATGAAATAATTCTATTAAACAATCATTCCTCCAAATAATACGCCATATAATCCCTTTTATAAAATTTACAAAAACCTTTGGGAACAAGACACCCCGTAAAAATCTTTATAACGTCTATATCTTAGATCCTGACCTGAAGTCATCTCCAAAAAGTTATCCAACCAGGTTCAAATAATTATTTATCATACCTAAAATTTGCGAGAATATTTTCAAAGTGAGTTAATATGGTCGATATTAACGCACTTTGAAAAGAAATATTTTTTATGCCCCCGGATCGAAAGATCCCGGGGTTATATTGTTTTTGTCCTGTCTGTCTGTTTGTCTGTCTGTTTGTTGTCACCTTTAATCTTGCCCATAACTTTAGATTGGTTGGAGCTATGACTTTCTTATTTCACATGTGTATTCCTTTTGACAAGACCTTTCTTTGGGTACCATCAAATTTGACCTTTTGACCTTGACCTTGGAGTTTGACCCACTTTTGCAAAATTTTATGAGACTTTGTGACAAGGCCTTCCTTTGGATACCAACAACTTTGACCTTTTGACCTTGACCTTGGAGTTTGATCTACTTTTGCAAAACTTCGCCCTTGGCCAAAACTTTTGAATGGTTGGAGCTAGGGCTTTCATACTACAAATATGTTATTCTTGTGACAAGACCTTTCTTTGGGTACCATCAAATTTGACCTTTTGACCTTGACCTTGGAGTTTGACCCACTTTTGCAAAATTTTATGAGACTTTGTGACAAGGCCTTCCTTTGGATACCAACAACTTTGACCTTTTGACCTTGACCTTGGAGTTTGATCTACTTTTGCAAAACTTCAACCTTGGCCAAAACTTTTGAATGGTTGGAGCTAGGGCTTTCATACTACAAATATGTTATTCTTGTGACAAGACCTTTATTTGGATGCCAACCATTTTGACCTTTTGTCCTTGACCTAGGAGTTTGACCTACTTTTGAAAAACTTTAACCTTGGCCATAACTTTTGAATGATTGGTGCTAGGGCTTTCATACTTCACATATTTAATCCTTGTGACAAGTCCTTTCTTTGGATACCAACCACATTGACCCTTTGACCTTGACATAGAAGTTTGACCTACTTTCGAAAAACTTTACCCTTGGCCATAACTTTTGAATGGTTGGAGCTAGGGCTCCTTGTGACAAGATCTTCCTTTGGATACTAACAACTTTGACCTTGACCATGACGTTTTACTTACTTTTAAAACAACTCTAACCTTCGCCATAACTTTTGAACAGTTGCACTAGGGCTTTCAAATTTCACAGGTATATTCCTCGAGACAAGATCTTTCTTTGGGTACCAACATTTTTCATCTTTTGGCCTGGGTTTTGACTTGCATTTGAGAAACTTTAACCTTCGCCATAAGCTGCCATACGGGGGCATCAGTGTTTCACAAACACATCTTGTTTCAAAGTGCGTTTACCTTGTCCCATATTTAACGCACTTTGAATTTTTTTTGAAAAGTGCGTTGTAATAATGCATTGATATATCCCCAATTACTATTCAGAAGAAAATTTTATCAAGGCCTTTGACTTATTCTGAATATTCTCATAATGGGAACAAATACGACTATCCCAATAAAACGAAATCAAGGTTAACAAAATGCACATTATATAGTTACAACATACCTCTGTAGCTTTGTTATCCATTTCGGTTATTTTGACAATTTTTACTGCCCTGAACCCGAAGGTCTCATTAGAACAAAGGTAAACTACGCCATGTGCACTTCTTCCAAGACATCCTCCCTTCTTCCACCGTACATCATAATGATCTTTAAGTTTAGAACACCAAAATATCTTAAACTGTACTTGCTCTTTCTTGAAGAGTCTCATTAATTACGCTAACTATATAAATCTAGTAGTGATTTGTCTAGATTTAACCTTTCTTTTTGTTTACCTTGGTCTTCTTTGGGTTGCTCAAGAAAATATTCTTCTCTCATATGTAGTGCTGTAAAACAGTCTAGAGTTTGGAGTTTCGTCAAATTTTACGATAAAATAAAGTGCGCATGCACCTTTGAAAAGATTTTTTAAAAATATTTCTTTTCGTAGAGTACCAATATAAAGATGAGAATGTGTAACTATGTCGAATAATTTGGAGAAAACATTACTTGCTAACAAGTACCATGCCCAGTTGCAGTCAAGTTTACCATATTAAAAATTGCAATATCCGATATGCAATATATGAAAGTTATGAATATTTAATATCCTGTTGGTCTCCTGGTATAATATCCAATAACATTCATGATCACAATAACTTTGGATTATTTTAATGTCTAGCTGTCTGGCTGTCCCTCTGTATGGCTGCAGTTTTTCCCACTTGGTTTTCCGCATTTTTTTCTAAACGCTTGCAGATATTGAGTTGATCTTTGGTCTGTCACTTTACCTTGATGAGTTATAGACCAAGTTTGCATTTCGTTCCGCTTCAATGTTTTTGATTGAATTATTGCATTTTCAATCTTTAATGGGAACCAGATTACACTTGCTAGTAGGGTCTAGTATTGCTAATATAATACTCTCGGAGTGACTGTTAAAATTAATTCACAATAAACTTAATTTTTATTTAGAGTTTCTGACCCGATTTTTTTTTTATTTTTGAGTTTGCATCTCATTGTTTCTGTAATATTGAGGAAATACCAACGACTTCAAGATCACAACGATTAAATAAATCCTTGAATTGGGTTTTCGTTACAGCAGATGGCAGGTAATCTTTCAGAAAATATATTAGGGTATACCTTAGCAATGTGTTGTCCACCATTTTATTTTTGTTTAGTTCTTAAGCTTGAATGCTTTCTTTCCTTTTTTTTTTTTTGATTGGGGGAGATGGATAAATATTGGCTTCTGATCGTACGTGTACAGATCATTATCTTTAAAGATCACGTTATATGACTTACTGTGACGACATATTTTTTGCATTTACTGAGTATTTTTATGTCCTCTTCAATATTTCTTCCTATACTTCTTGGAAGAGTTACAATAATTAGCATACAAAAATGATTTATCATAAAAACGTGTAAATCTAACCTTTGAAGTGACTTAATTTGATTGCTGTTTCTTTTTGACCTTCAATTTTCTCTAAAATGAAATGGAAAACTTTTGTCATCTAAGATGTACTCTATCACATTTTTAAGGGTTTTCACCAATAAACACACAAAAAAGGAATTTTATTTCAGTTTATGGCATCTTAAAGACATGTTTAACTAACCTTCTAGTCGACTAATCCTGTTTGATGTTTCCTTACAAAAACTTGTTATCCTTTCTAAAATGAAATGAGCCTTTTTCTAAGATATTTTTTCATATTTATTTTAGGATTTGTAATAATGCACACACAAGAGAGTAACTTTATTCCAGTATATGACATCTTAAAGATATGTTCAACTACTTAGTAACCTTCTAGGTGACTCATCCTGCCTGATGTTTCTTTATATAATCCTGCTATGTTTTCTGAAATGAAATGGAAATATTCTGTCATTTTAAGTATATTTCACCATCGTTCTTAATAGGTTTTCACCAATAACCTACAAAAGTAACTCACCTTCGATGTCACTCATCTTGCTTTCCGATTTCTTAATATGACTCGCCATGTTTTCTAAAATAAGATAGTAGATTGCTAGTTATTTAGCACATCGACCGAAACAAAAAAAAAAGATGTGTTTGTGAAACAATGATGCTCCAGTATGGCAGCTTATGGCAAAGGTGAAAGTTTCTCAAATGCAAGTCAAACTCCAAGGTCAAGGTCAAGAGAAAAAGTTGGTACCCAAAGAAATGTCTTGTCACAAGGAATATACCTGTGAAACATGAAAGCCCTACCACCTACTGTTAAAAGTTATGGTGAAGGTTTAAGTTTTTCAAAAGCAAGTCAAAAGTTGAGGTCAAGGACAAAAGATCAAAAACTGTTGGTACCCAAGGGAAAGTCTTGTCACAAGAAATACACATGTGGAATATGAAAGCCCTAGTATTAACCGTTCCAAAGTTATAGCCAAGGTTAAAGTTTTTCAAAAGTAGGTCAAATTCCAGGGTCAAGGTCAAAGAGTCAAGATTAAAAGTACCCAAGAAATGGTTTTGACACAAGGAATACACATGTGAACAAATGAAAGCCTTAGCTCCAACTGTTCGAAAGTTATGACCAAGGTAATATATTCTTGACCTTGGCCTTTGAGTTTGACCAACTTTCGCAAAAAATTATCAAACTTTAACCTTTGCCATAACCCATGAACAATTGGTTCTAGGGTTTTAACATGTGTGTTCATTGTGACAACACCTTTCCATGGGTATAAGTATTTCTGACCTTTTGACCTTAACCTTAGAGTTTGACCCACTATTAAAATTTAACAAAAATTAACCTTGATCATAACTTTTGAACATTAGTACTAGGCCTTTCATATTTCATATGTGTATGTTTGCGACAAAACCTTCCTTTGGATACAAACAATTTGATCTTTTGACATTGACCTTGGAATTTAACTTCTTTTGAAAAATTTAAACCTTCGACATAACTTTTGAACAGTTGGTGTTAGAGCTTTTATATTTCGC